TAATAATACTTTTAGCTTTAGCATGGAAATGAAGTTTAAGCCAAAACTGAGTTGTTATCAGCCAAGCTCTGGTCGATAGAAGCCTTTGATTGGTTTCTAAGCAAAAAGCTGCATAAGGAACACACGAGGGAAGTTCAAGAATTTTCCGCAAATATCTGGACAGAATTCTTTCCAAGTCCCCTTTTAAGGCTTCAATCCAGATTGAGCAGCTAATTTGGCATTAAAAACTTTAAGGGCCGCCAGCACATACTGGTTACCTGGAATAATGGAAATGTGTAATCGCCACAGCAATGTTATTCGCTGCCTCAATTGCTCTCTCTTTGTGATAGACCCATCTGGTGTTATAGTAAAAGTGAATACCCAAATACCTAAAAGCTTTTGATTTGTTCAATGAGATGGCCTCCAATATTCCATCTGGACGGCTTCCAACTCTTACTGAAGATCATAATTTTGGATTTTTCAAAATTCAGAACTAGCCTATTCTTTTCACAATAGTCTACAAAGCTCTTCAAGAGGCGTTTAAGCCCTATATGAGTTAGGGACAATAGCACTCACTTGCCTAATGCCCATAATGAGTGGAATTCCTCCTTATCCAAAGAAACTGGGTAAATGGAAAGCTCTGTCTTAAGGACAAGGGGAGAAAGGAACCATAATGTAAATATGTATTCCAGTCCATCCCTTTCCTATAAGGACGTACTACTAACTTATTATCAAAAGCTCTATCTACTACAGAAAAGGTAGACTATGACTCTGCCATGTATATTTAATGCTCTCATCAAGTTTATTCATCCATTTACAAAATTGTGGTAATGGAACTACATCATTAAACACGATAAAACAATTATCAATAAATCTCTTGAAAATAGATATATGTTGAAAAACAGGGTTAATATCTGGATTCAGAATGAATTGCTCTTCTAATGTTGCCATGTACAAACAGGCTATACTGGGGGCTGCTATGCACCCCATGGCAACCACTTTAACTTTTACGAAATATTCTGAGTCAAATTGAAAATAATTTTTTTCAAGAATAATATCTAATAAAGATAACAGGAAATGAGTAGGAGGATCAGATTTGTCTCTTGTTACCAAAAACTTCTCAACCACTCTGCATGCTTCATTGTGGGGGATGATAGTATAAAGGGAACTTACATCCATGGTTAACAATATGGCATTTTCATAAGGCATGAATAACTTGACATGTTTTGCACTATTTATGTGGAAATTACATAAAATTGCCAAAATGCATTTGGAAGTAATTATTATTAGTTAATCTGTCATGGTTTGTGCCTATCTGTTACAGTGAGTCCACCTGACTGGCATTGGAAGCCTGCAAATTCCTTCCTCCAAGTCAACAACGTGTCAAATCTTTACTTCTTTTTCTTTCCCAGATAAACATGTAATTTTTTAAAAAATGGCTGTGTTCCTAAGTGCATTTATGTGGCCATAAAGTTTAGCGAGCCTAACTTCCAAGTAAAGGTGTTTCTTATTATCATGAAGCACATATGGCTCATCCACCTGGATTTCAATGAATGAACCCTGTTTCAGTTTTGGAGCACTAATGATCACCAAAGTTGCTGCTCCTGAAATCTGCAAGTTCTCAGGTCACAGCAACATTGTTCACAAATGTGGACAACTGGCATGTGAAGGGGGAAGACATCAGCACCAAGTAACATATGAACTGGCCCTAGACTATTCTAAGACCATGTCTTAGAAGTAGGGTCCATAATAATTGGTCAAGTTTGGAGTTTGCAACCTTCTACATGACCCTCATCTTGTCCAACTGGGAGCCAACTCAACTCCTCCCTCCCTTTCAGTCTTCCTGCTGGATGATTATATGGGAAGGAAAAGGTAGTCAATGAAGCCACTAGAAAGATACGCTAACGAGTAGATTAGAGGCTGCAGTGGTCCTGCTTTCATTCTCATATCAACACTTAGCACTGTAGTCAATTTAATATATTCTGCTGACACAAACTCTCTCACTAAAGGTACTTACTGTGGTGACACTGCCTTCAGCAAGGTGCCCAATGTTGAAGTTACCTTCATCATCTTCAGTTTTTGCCTTTTTAGTATTGGGCCCATCTTCACTACTGGAATTGGACAAGATAAGAATATATCAACCTGAAGGAATGGAGGGTGGGTGTTGACAATAATGAACACTGCAATTTATGTGAGAAGTACATGTTCTGTGAAGATGTGTTCAGAAGTGCCATTTCACTCTTGCAACTTCTGACAAATTATCCATTATTTCAGACAGGGAGGAGTGCCAGCAGAACATAAAGGATCAGATCATCCTGAATGAAAGGATGCCAACCAAAGTTATGATTGTGACCAGATATTTAATGTCAAATACTGCCCCCTGCACTTGCTGACGTAGCACCTTGCCTTATCAGAGCAACATCATTTTCATATTCTGCATTTGTACCAGATTCCATTTAATGATTAAACTGACATGAGTGATCATGGAAATTCAACACTGCAAGAAGAAATCTATTTACCTTTCTGATATAATTTGCTAGTTCTCATCTTGAAACTGAAAGCTATTAAGTATCTGTGTACATAGACCTGTACGTCTCCTAACCCATCTTCCAGATCAGCATACGTAAGAGCTTGGTAAATTTCCACTCAAAGCTGTTAAGTACTCACTAAACAAATCCCAGTTAAGTATGCAAGACACCACTTTACAGAATGACCTTTTGAAACAGCTCTCAAAAGGCAAGCTTAACTTTCAACGAGATATAATTTTCTGTGTTATTTTCTACATCTTTTACTCACATGTGGCCTTATTGCTGACTTTGATAGAAGAAAACGGCAGCCTGATTCAACATTATCACAGAACATGGGAACTGCCTACCCATGGATGGACCAAACCCACACCATTCTGTCTAATCATTACTAGAAGAACCACATGGGGGTGGGTGGGGGGTGAACAGCATAATTATTTCACATGCCACTGTTGTCAGCACTTTTGCAGAAGACATAAACGTGCCCTTCATGGGTGCATGATTCCTCCATCCAGACATCATCGGAATGATTTAGAAAAAGAAAGTCGCGGCCATAATTCACTGTTAACTTTTGAATCATGTCTTTTGTCACCTGACATGATATGCCAAACAAGATGTATGTTTGTATTAAAAGAAATGAATATATCAGAGAATGTGTCTTTATATGTTTAGTCTGCCCCACCTTGAAGATTTAGGGGAGGAAGCCATATGGAGGCCGAACCTAATAAACAGCTAAAGAACAGATGATTCCAGTGTAAACTCACGAGTCTTTGAAGATAGCTTGTGCTGTCTTTTGCTCTTTTATTTTGCCCACATCCTTCAAGGGGAAGAGTGCTTTCAACTTCTCAAGAGGGGCCAGGCATCTTCCCATCACTTCTTGAGGTGTCTCCAACATGTCCATGAGGTGCTTTTCAACAGGAGGCAGAGGTGCATCAGGATGGAAAGCCTTATGCTGCAGGCACTGGTGGCAGAATATGAGGGTCACTATGTGCATCTAGCTAATTTTAGCTTCTAGTGCCCAAAATGCTTTTCACAAATGTTGGGAAATTGCCCTGGTTGCAGCTGCCTTATGGCAACCCCACAGGGTTTTCAAGACAAGAGACGAGTGCAGGTTATTTGCCAGTGCCTGCCTCTATACAGCAACCCTGGACTCCTTCGGTAGTCTCCTATCCAAATACTAACCTGGGCTGACCCTACTTAACTTCCAAGATCTGATGAGATCAAGCTAGCCTGAGCCATCCAGGTCAATGTTTTCATGAGTACAGCAGAAATTTAAATATTTGAACACTCATGGCATAAAAAGTAATCAGGCTTAAAAATAATGTAAGAATATATCATACTTCTAGATTTAAGTGAAAACAAAGAAATTCTCCCAGATAAACATGTGATAGATTTGCCAAAAGCACTACTGATATCAGTACAAATATCAAAATTTCAATATCCTAAAACAATACAACTAAAAAATTAAATCTGTATTCTGTTTTCTTAAAAAAACAATTTCCATTTTTGAATACACAAAATGAGGGAAAACATTGCACATTAAGGCAGAAAATCGGACTTCCTCCACCTTCAGTTTGCCTGTCAGAGTATGTAGTTCTTTTACTGTAATTTCCAGGATGCACTCCAACACTTTCTGTATTGAAATGATGCATTATTTTAGCTGCTCACACATTTTCTGTGAGACTGTATTATGTAAATGATAACTACCCCATATCGGTTATTCCACACTGAAGCAGGTAGATGGTGGACGAGGTAAGCTACATAATTTAAGCAGCTGCATCCCTCGCTTTTTGATGCCACAAAATCCCTGAGATCCAAGAGGCTGCAGCTGGAATGACTTGAAAAGTCTTGCTCTATTTCTATTCTGTATGCCACTTGGATCATTTCTTACTGAGAAAGCAACAGGGTGGGATATTCGGATCCAAGCAACAGTCCTAGGTCTTACCACATCAGGCACAAACCAGTTATTTTTACTTAGAATGGTACAAAGGAAAAAAATTAATATAATGGTGGTAACATTATAATTGTACCTGGAATAATCGTTGGAATTGAGGGTTTGGAAATTTGCTGGTTTTAAATATATCCTCCACTGTCTCTTCTCTCTCATCTTCATAAACTAAGTTCATAGAATCAATCAGGGAGTCAGCGGCACACAACTGATCCTCTGAGTCACAAATACAGAAAAGGAATGTTAAATACATTTTCAGGACATAGATGTATTACAGTAATTTTAATCTCTTTTTTCACAAGAGTTCCACAGACACAAAGAGAAACTACTACCTTCCAGGACCTCACAATTTCAAACTTGCAAAATGAGATTTATTTACAATTTCAAACTTGCAAAATGAGATTTATTTACTAAATTGAGATTTATTTACTTTCACCCTGAAGTCAACAGAAGCCATTTACTTCTGAGGGGAAATATAAATCAGCTGCAATCAGCCAGACAGCTGAAGTGGAAGTTCCCAACATAAGGTGTGACATTCTACGAATCGGGAAGCAGATAAATGGGGAAAAAAATGGGCAGTGGCTTACGTAAGTGGTCACACATTACATAATAAACTTTTGTAACTCACTGCCACAGAGTGTACTGACAACCACTAACTTACATAGCTTTAAAAGACAAATTTATAGAGGGTAGGTAGATCAACTACCATGATCCATGCTCAGAGGTAGTGTACCACAGACTACCAGTTACTGGGGGAACTGCAGGGGGAAGGTCTGGCCTTCTTGCCCTGCTGGAGGCATCTGGTTGGTCCCTGTGCTATAAAGGGCCAATATTAAAAACCTAGTCGAAACTGATAATATACAAAAATGCATGTATTTATTAGAAAGGCAGTTAAAACAAATAGGGGCCCAATGAAAGCCTCGTTGAAAAGTTTAAGTGGCCTGAACACAAGGGCCAATGCACACGGCCTGATGCGTTTCCACCCTACTAGGGGCCTTCTTCAGAGGTCAAACAGTTTGAGGTACACATGTTACAATATTACATATTACAATAAGATAACCAATAAGTTAATACTGGACCAAGAAAAGGAAAGTTAAGCAGCAAGATCAATAGGCACAAGACAAAGATGTTTGTGAGGCCTCTAAAGATGAGAATCATGTGTCTAGTGCCCAATGCACAGCTGTGGAATTAGAGCATGTTCCAATTCTGGCCCAAAAAGAACCTATGTGCTTTTAGCAGTTCCTGTGCTAAACAGAATGCTAGACTAGATGGACCTTTAGTCTGATCTATTTATTATTATTATTATTATTATTATTATTATTATTATTATTATTATTATTATTATTATTATTATTATTATTATTATTATTATTATTATTCACCCTATCCTTGCTTGTGCCCGGTTCTGGGTGATGTACAAAAGGCAAAACGACATAAAACAAAATACAAATTTTAAAATATCCATATACAGTTAATAAGGGATAAAAATCAGAATAAAATATCCCAAAACTGAGAGCCAGTTTGGTGTAGTGGTTAAGTGTGCGGACTCTAATCTGGGAGAACCGGGTTTGAGTTCCCACTCCTCCACTTGCACCTGCTGATGTGACCTTGGGTCAGTCACAAGCTCTGGCACAGCTGTCCTTGAAAAAGAGCAGTTTGTGTCAGAGCTCTCTCAGCCCCACCCACCTCACAGGGTGTCTGTTGTGGGGAGTGGAAGGGAAAGGAGTTTGTAAGCCGCTCTGAGACTCCAAGTGAAGGGCGGGGTATAAATCCAATCTCTTCTTCTTCTTCTCTTCAAATGGCAATTTACAATTTTCTGTTCCCGTTCTGAACTGCCTGGCCATTTAGTGGGAGGAGGAGAGGGAAACTTAAGCAAAATATATATGGGGGGGAGAGGGAAAGGGTGCCAGTCTAGCAGGGTTCTTACACTCACTGCCATTGGCAATACTAAATACAGCCTCCTAATGAAGCATACTGTGCTAATATGGATACAGAAATCATTGTACCAGGTCACACTCTATAGTCTGATAAAAGTGGCAATACTACTCGGGATCACAGCAAATGCCACATGCTTCAAAGGCAAGACGGGAGCTGTACACGGTGATTGCAAACATAATACACAAGGAATGCCAGTCTCAACAGAATCCTGGTTTAGTGTGTAAGGTGCCATCTTCAGGTATGCTACTCACAAATATTTATGGTATAGTTTGTCATACCACCTGATGAGCATCATCCTCCTTATATGCAATGGGATTTTTTTTAAGTGCATATGGATCGGATGGTGTCTCTGCAGTCTGTTGTTCTCTGCTGTTTAACAGAACCATCTGCTTACTTTCCCCCTTTTATACCTCCTGACTCATTCTTATGCACTAGCAAAGATTTTTTTTCCTAATTAACTTTTTTCTGTGTGAAGGCCTTAAGATTTAGAACAAGAAACTTATTTTTAAATTTTTATTTTGGGACTGTAAGCACTCACAAACTGCAACAAAGCGCAACATCCCTGCATTACAATCCTGTGCACAACAAGGATGTTGCTAACAATGCTTCTGCAATTGTTTAAAATGCCTGAGACACAGATTAGCATCAAGGGCAACAAAAGAGGGATGGGGGCTCCTGCTCCAAACAAGCTGGAACTGGTATCATGACACCAAATGCACAGTTCTGCCAATGTAAAAATATTATGAAAGTGGTTTCTACCGGTTGCAATAGTCACACCCACATCTATCTTCTAGTGCCACCCACAGAAGGATGTGCAAGCTCACCTGCTGGAGTGTATTTTTTATTCTTTTTCAAGGAAGAAAACATGTACTGCCTCAGATCCTCCATATAAGGTAACTGCATGTACACCAAACACTAAAACAAAAGTCAAAAACATGCTTTTAATTATTTTGACCTATCTCATTTGCAGAAAATTGCAAAACTCATTGAATACAGATGTTACTACACTTGTTATGATTTTTAAAAGGAATATTCATCATGGATGTATGGGTATTTCCTAGTCTTTATCTCACCCAATTAAGGCATGTTCTATTCTCCGACATCACCTAATTCACACTGTGGCTCGTCATTTGTTTGTATGGCATTTTTAAAGATGTTTTCCAAAAGGACCTTTTACAGTTCTGCAGAGCCTGAAAAATGGAGTTCTTCCACCAGGCTTTCGATTAGGAACCACCACTGATGAATGTGCCCTGGAACATCTCCTGGCCTGAAATCTAGAACATCTTCTGGCCTGAGACCTCACTGGATGCTACTCCTATCATTGGGTGTGATTTGGATTATCGCCACCATCTGTCCGTTTTACTTGTAAACTGTTTTGTTTTCACTTGGTATTGTATTTATTAATCATTTTAACTCTGTATTGTTTACGTTATTTTAACTCGGTTAGCCGCCTTCAGCCAGCGTGCCTGGCAAGGTGGGATACAGATAGAAATAATAAATAAATAAATAAAATAAAGGTGGTTCTCAGTTCCTCTCAGCATTTTCAGAGTTCTGCTTTCCTTTATTCACAAACCTCCTCCAGACCCCCATTATCTTAAACAATTTCCTTCTCCCTTGGATGTTTATGCCTGTTAAAAGAACAGAAAAGCTTGTGTCCACCCCCAATTTGGTCACTTCTTAATCAAAGCAGTGCTTATTGAGCATATGTTCAGTCACTAAAAACATGTGCTGCAGAAATGACACACCCACTTGCAGGTTTAGTATGTACATACTCTCTTTTTTGTGGGACGTGGTATTTTATTCCGTTAAAAAGGACAACTGCATAGCTAAAATTCCTGAAAACTGTGCAAGCTTTGTACAAAACCCTACAAAAGAAAAAAATAATCCCTGAATTTAGGCTTCTGGTCTTCCACTGAGAAGCACATGAGTGTCTCCACAATGGAAAAGGCCCCTTTGCTAGTGGAAAGAAGGCTTAGGAACCTAGCCTAAGATTCTACATATTCTAACATACGCATGATGGAACATGGTATCTGCCCTGGGTGGGTGATTTTAACAACTTTTAAAAAATTACCTCATAGTCATTCTTAATTAATGGAAAAGCTACCCCAACCTGGGGGTTAGATCTTCTATCATAGACATAACGCACTATCGCCACCATATCCAGCTCATTCAAAGCATGAATCAGGGCAGAAAGAGCAACTGCCGCAGCCTGTCGAGAAAAGATATACAGGTATATACAAGCATCACTGAATTTTAGCACTTGCAGTATTCACAAAAGATCAAAGAGAGAAGATGCTCCAGTTCTGAGGCACGGCTCTGACTTAAACCTCACCTTTTTGTCTCTTCAAAAGAATAGGGAAATAGTGCCAGTGCAAAAATCAGGTCACAACATCAAAACACATTTCAAAGTAGGATTATCTCTTTGCATCACATCAATGTTCCAAAAATGTTAAAGTGCCTATATTCAAACCTAAAAAACAACACCAACAACAAAAATCTGTAAGGTTTCTTTAAAGGTTGTTTTTTATAATGTTAAAAGTGGAGGAGAGATCTCATTTCTAAATCCAACATAAGCAGCAATCTTTGTTCTTACAAGGTGTCACAAATAAGGCTAATCAGTACCGCTGCAGGAACTCAAGAGAAAAATACAATTATAGAAGTGGCTTGAAGAAGCATAGATCATGGACCACAAAGTGTTTGGGTAGATGTTGCATTTTGGTAGATAGTAGCCTAGATAAGGCTCTGTTGCTTCTCAGATTTCTGTAACAGAAATATTTCCCATCCCATAACCCCAAGGCAAAGTACAGTCAGACTTGTATGCTTGTAGTCATTGCGGTAAACAAACAGCCAAGCTAGAGCTTAGCACTTATTGGTGGGAAACCACTGTATAACTTCTTCTGTATCAAGGAAATCAAAATTCAGCACTGACCTCTCAGTGCTATTTCCTGTGACCTTCTAAATTCCCTAGTTATTAAGCCTTATCCATCTTGATGATTAGTTTACAAATTTGTTTTTTTTTTTAAACATCAGCCTGGCTCATTTGGTAAGACAAGAAGCGGATGTCCATTTCTGGACTTTTCTCTGTACGTCAGTTATCAACAGGTTTCAGATTTTTCACGTCTACACACAAAATCATTCACAACATGCCATTTTGGATTCATCTCCAGAGGTGTAATAATAAAACAACAATGCAGACAATGCTCAGCTTGAAGACTGTTCATCTCACCTCATCATCCTTTGCTGCAAATACTTTCAAAACTTGGCTGCCCATGTAGTGATGTCTCAGGATCTAGACATGAAAGTTTCAAGAACATTAATTTTGGAAATGCTTTTTAAACACCAAAACTGCCAGACGGGAAGGAATTAATTCTACACTTAAAAAATACTTTTGAGTTTTTGAGATCACATAAAGGTAAAAACAAACACAAAAGTATTTAAGCCAGATTGATTTCTCACAATGCTATATATTTAAAAACCCTGTCGTATTGGCACTTTCCAGCTCTCCCATTGGCTGTGCTGTGCTCCCCATCAGCCATTGGCCCATCAACTGCCACTCAAGTGTATTCGCATGCCATTGGCTGGGTGCTGGGTCCGCTCCTCTCTCCTGGCTACTGCCAGCCTAGCCACTCTTCCCTGACAGAATAAATTGCCAAAATGGCTCTCTCTCCTGATGAAGATGCTTCTCCTGCTTGGCTCCTCTTGGCTGGCTGACTACTAAGATGGGCCACCGGCCACCAAACCATTCTCTTCTCCTCCTGCTGTGGGGCTAACTTTTCCCTTAGTGGCTGTTGCTAGGCAACCAAACTTGGTTTTGTCAGTAAAAAAGTGGGGGAAGGAGGCCCTTTCCTGGCCTACTTTGGTTTTTGTGGGGAACTCATTGGGGCCAGTCCTGACTAGAGTTGCCAGCTCCAGGTTGGGAAATTCCTTGATATTCTGTGGTGTAGTCTACGGAAGCTAGAGTTTGGGGAGGGGAGATACCTCAGCTGAATAGAATGCCACAGAGTTTACCCTCCATAGCAGTTATTTTGTCCTGGGCACCCACTGCTGCCAATCTCTAGGTGAGGGCTGGAGATCACTCAGAATTAAAACTGCTCTCCAAACAGCAGAGACCAGTTCCCCTAGAGAAAACAGCTGCTTTGCAGGGTGGACTCTGTGTCATTATACCCTGCTGAGGTCACTTCCCTCCTGCTTGGGTCCCCACTGTGGAGAAAGACTACTTTTTCTAGGTAGAAGCTGCAGTGAGGAGGGACAAGATGGAAAGCTGAAGTCAGAGAGCAGATAGCAGTATGTTGATGGCTGGCTGGGAAGGAGATAGAGTTGCCACCTCCAGGTTGGGAAATTCCTGGAGATCTGAGGGGTGGAGCCTGGAGAGGGTCGGGTTTGAGGAGGGGTGGGACCTCAGATACAATGCCATAGACTTCACTCTCCAAACCAGCCATTTCCTCCTGGGGAACCATTGCTGCCAATTTCCAGGGGAGGGCTGGAGATCACTCAGAATTACTACAGATGGCAGAGATCAGTTCCCCTGGAGATAATGGTGGACTATGGCCCCGGCCAGACATGCCGGAAAATACGGGGGGGGGGAAGTGCGGCTATTTGCGGCGTCGCATTCTAATGCGCTATAATGCGATCAGACATGACAGCGGCTTCCCCGCAGCAAAGCGTTTTGCTAGTACATGTGGTGTGCTAGTTTTTTACTGCGCGGCTTCGGCGGCTTGCCACGGGTTCGCCACGGGAGTGCTACGCCTCCCAATGTTCCTGTGTGATCGCGCCTGGATACTCCACGGGACTCCCGTGCCTTCAGTGGGGCAAATGCTCCGTGTGACCGGGGCCTCTGTGTCATTATACCCTGCTGAGGTTACAAATTGACACTGAGCGCCCAAGGCCAGAGCACCTGCCCAGAGCCTCCCTCTAGAGTTCGTTGTATTTATTTCCATAACAGGCCTTATTCTTAGTATACATATAAACCATCACAGAATCCTTTCTCCAAAGTCAAGTTGCTGTTCACTCCGTGTGTGTTCACTTTAAATGCACTGGCTCTGTGTCCAAGGCTCAACCCTTTCCTCAGTTCCTTTTAGTGCTCATCCATTAATTTCCTTTCTTTCCCTTGGCCACTCTTATCATTGTTCAACCCATGTATCTAACAATCTCCATGTTAATGGTCTATGCATAAAGACTGTTTAATATGAGTTTATCTTCCACATCTGTTTTTGGTAAATAGCAATTTAAGTTTTCAAGCACATCATAATCTGATACAGCAGCATTTCACTGAGGCGCTACAAACACTCCCAGATGCCTCTCATGGACAAGGATGTCCCTGATTTGAACCATTTTTTAAAGCTGCCCTTCAAGCCTTTCATTACCCTCACACAAGTCCCCAATTCTCATTGCACATTCCTGACTGGACTTTATCCTTCCACCATTATGTCTGGACAGCTGGTGGCCCCCTAACATAACACAGGAAGCTACAATTATCATCATCCTGTCTTAATTGTCTTATGCTGATGAAAGCAGGCTTCAATGAACCAATATCCAGTAATTCTCACCCCTTAAAGGGATCATCTGTATCCTGGCCAAGTCAAAAACGTCTTCCTGTCATGTTATAAAGTGTACTTTATTTCAGACCAAGTTCTGAAATGCTTCAATGGGGCTTGCTCCCAAGTGTACAATAGGACTGAAGTGTGTGTGTGTGTGTGTGTGTAAACTCTTTGTCTTATTCACACAGAATAGACTCAAACTCCCATAGTCACACAGACTATGCTCTCTCTCCAAACTTCACACACAGAATCACCTCAGAGACATCTCTCCTCCCACTCTCTGTCATCAGCTAATCACATCACACTTGTCTCCCTCTATCTCTCCTCACATTACTGCAGTCAAACTAAACATTTAAAGAAACACACATACCAAAAATGGAATTATTACACAGTCCTTCATATAGCAATGAGGGTTTGAGAAGCATGCCCTGACTACAAGTTATACAGGCAGCCCTGAAAATGGCCAAATAAAAGGGAGTTGAACTTCCCCAGGAATGAGAGAGATGGAAGATATGCCATATACACACATACTGCCCCAAAGGAAACACCCCAACCATTTCAACTAAGTTGCTGTGTCCCTGCCACAGAAAGCAGTCCATTTATCCGAGAGTCATTTATACAACCTCTTTGGCTGGGATGACTGTCAAGTTAAACGAACAGTCTTGTTGTTAAATAAGCAGCATTTCTGAGCTCACAGCCATACCTGAGACGATCTGCTGAATCCCAAGACAGCAAAGCATTTTCCATCTGTTTTGTATTTCATTTGTTCCTCATCTACTTTAGAGAAAGGGATTACATCACTTCCAAAGCGGAACCCTGCAGATTAAGAATCCATCCAATATGTTAGTAAAGAACTTAAGTGGGGGAGAGTAGGCAAAATTATAACTCCCCATCTCCTGCTGTAACCCCCCCCCCCCAAAAAAAAAAAAAAAAACTCAGCATGGGCTGAGGGCTAGCAAGCTCACTGCCTGGGAATCCTGGCAACAGACGGAAGAACATAGATATGAGCTCTCCATCAGCTGGAGCTGGAAATTACACACTTCCCTTCAAGGCTGAAGACTAAGCCAGGGCTTGCCTGAAAAACACCCTATTATTGCATGCATTCTCCCAAGTCCATCCTAAAAGTTTCCCTTCAACTGTCATGGAACTTCCTTTTGTCATGCATCTTCCAAGTTCCATTCCCACCCCCTTCGCCCTTTGATTCACTTTCAAGTATACCCTGAACAACTTTTTTTTTTAAAAGCCAACATGCGGTAGGTAAGTGTTGGCTTCAAAAGTCACACTTCCCAACCCTAATTTCAAACCCCAGCCCCTTCACTCATGAAATAATCAAAGATGCCTGCTTGTAGCATCTACTAATTCTATGGAGCTTCTGTCCTTGATACCTAAGTGAATCCTCTGTATAGTTAACAATGCACTCAAGTCTCAAAACCAATTTTCAAATACAGCACCCTCTGGAACATATATCAAATTAAATTTCTCCACTACAAATGGCTCTTCTGCTCCTTACGCCTTATTATATTTCATCTTAATGCTTGTGCCAATAATGCAAGCCTGGAGTGCACTCAAGAATCATAATTCAGTGAATGGCGCTGAATATTTTTTAGCAAATTCAAAAGTAATGACATAACAGATTGCCAGGAGACTCCGAGAAACAGCCTCTGAGGCTTTCACAAAACAAAATATCATGTTAAAGATGTATCAATGTCTCATGAAAAATCCACTCGTCTACAAAGAGACCACTCTGCTGATCGAGTGGATAGGACATGTGGGTCATTTTGCACAGCTGAAGAATTACTCTTCCATGGCCAGCTGGAAGTAGAAGTGGAAGTGCACTTAATAGCACTTTCCAGAAAAATCCAGTAATGCTAGTTCCCAAGGGTAAAATACTACAGCATTACATGGAGGCAAGTCCTGTGGAGGTTCCACTTCATCCTGCAATTTGGGGCTGGGGGCGGGGTATTAAGTGTATCTGTGTGTGCTTTCATGCCCGGAAGTAATGGCGATTTCTTGTGACACCTACTGGGGGCTTGGACATTTTCCAGAGAGGTGGCTTGATAGCCTGCCTCTGCGTCCTGAGCACTGGTATCCCTTGGAAGTCTCCCCTTCCAATTAAGTCGGCCCTGCTTAGCTTCCAAGATCTGATGAGACTGGGCTAGCTTGAGCGATCCAGGGCCCTGTAATTTTCCTTTCTTTGTTTTATGGCCTAATTAATACTTTTTTGATTTTTCTATTGAGGTTTCCCCTGGGGGAGAAATGGGGTTGTTAAGTACTGCTTTTCACTTCCCAGGTAGCACACAAAACACAGACTGCCTCAGCCCTTAAGCACCAATCAACACAAGTGCAAAGCTCCCCTAAGTGTTTTGCATTGGCCAGGAGTGTGGAATGTATTAATGTTCTGACTCTTGTTCAAGTGAAGGCATACAAAGAAATGGACTCCGATCCAGGACAAAGAAAGTGCTCAGCATCTTGCAGTTAGCTTTCGCCAATCAGATAAGCATGAGTCAAACAAGTTAAGGGATGATCTTGATTCCCAGCACTCTTTCATATATATAATATAAATATAATAAATAAATAAATAAATGTGACCAGAAAAAGAGCAAACTGCTAAAAATACAGGAAACCTGCGTGTTCTGTAGAGAAAAATATGTAAAATAATGAACGTGCAAGATGCAGCTAATAAAAACATGCTGAAACTTTTACAAATATTTCCCCCCGAAAAATTGCATCAAAATGCCCAGAGTAAAAGCCAAACTGAAATACCTTGAATAATATCCTCTTTCTGAACTTCTGTTTCATCATCATCATTCAAGCAGTAGACAGTTTCTCTTTGTATGTCATCTTTTTTTAGTGTCTTGGCATCTACAACCATCCAGCTTTTTTTCACTCTTTAAAAAGATCTTCACAGTAGAATTTAAGAGAGAAGGTATTTAATTGCCACTTGAGGATGAGACATAAATTGCAACCAGCTCCTGATCCCTTTTCTCATTAGCCCCCCCAGGAGGTGGCAACCCAGTCCACATCCTACTAACAGATACGAAACACATGAAACTTCCATCTTCAATCATCCCTGAGAGTCCCACAATGGACTTCATTAAGGGACTACACAAACAAAAAACCTTGGCATTTTAAATGCACATAATCACTGAATGATTGTCTCCAGTTTTGATGTCGTAGCTTTCAGGGATTGCAAGAAACGAGCTGTAGATTTAAAGAGTTCTCAGTACAACCCTGTGTAGAGTTATTTAAATGGGTTTAGAATGGAGTAACTCCATATAGCCCCCTCATGGATCACTGCCTTGTCGTGGCGAGGGGGCTTGCGCGGTTCGATGAAGCTGTGGGCTATGCCGTGAAGGGCCACCCAAGACAGACAGGCCACAGCAGAGAACTCAGACCAAGAGTGATCCCCTGGAGAAGGTAATGGCAACCCACTCCAGTATTTTTGCCGAGAAAACCCCATGGACAGTATCAAAAGGCTAAAAGATATAACGCTGGAAGATTAGCCCCTCAGGTCGGAAGGTGTCCAATATGCTACTGAGGAAGAGCAGAGGGCAAGTACAAGTAACCCCAGAAAGAGTGAAGCGGCTGGGCCAAAGCCGAAAGGACCCTCAGTTGTGGATGTGTCTGATGGTGAAAGGAAAGTCCAATGCTGCAAAGAACAATACTACATAGGAACCTGGAATGTAAGATCTATGAATCAAGGTAAGCTTGACGTGGTCAAAAATGAGATGGCAAGACTGAACATCGATATCCTAGGAATCAGTGAACTAAAGTGGACAGGAATGGGCGAATTTAACTCAGAAGACCATTATATCTACTACTGTGGCCAGGAATCTCGTAGAAAAAATGGTGTGGCCTTTATAGTCAACAAGAGAGTGCAAAAGGCAGTACTGGGATACAATCTCAAAAATGACAGAATGATTTCGGTCCGATTCCAAGGCAAACCATTCAACATCACAGTAATCCAAGTCTATGCCCCAACCACTGATGCAGAAGAGGCTGAAGTGGACCGGTTCTATGAAGACCTACAACACCTCCTAGAACTAACACCAAAAAATGATGTCCTCATCATCATAGGGGACTGGAATGCTAAAGTAGGAAGTCAAAAGGTAACCGGAATAACAGACAAGTTTGGCCTTGGAAAGCAAAATGAAGCAGGGCAAAGGTTAACAGAGTTTTGTCAAGAGAACACACTGGTCATAGCGAACACCCTTTTCCAACAACCATGAGCTACTCATTGCAAAATTCAGACTTAAACTGAAGAAAATTGGGAAAACCACTAAGCCATTCAGGTTTGACCTAGATCGCATCCCTGATGAATATTCTTCAGAGGACAGCGGACGACAGGAAAGCCTGGCGCGAGCTAGTCCATGGGGTCGCGAAGAGTCGGACTCGACTGTGCGACTGAACAACAACAAATTTTGATTGTACTAAATTTGTATGGAATCTTAGATTTTAATTTTACGATACAATGTTTTATATACCTTATGACTAATGATATGCCAATAAAGGTCTATGAATGAATGTCGTTTTAGTAACTTACTGATTTATAGGCTATGATCCTTATAGACAATTTACAACCAATGGTGAGCTGGCAGGGCCAAGCCATTGGTCTCCGTTCAATCTTCTTAAACATAGAAAGGCACTCCAGACTCTCCCTAAATGAAAGAGGACAGGAAGGTTCTTTGGAGAAATGAAGCAAAACATTGCATGAATTATGAAGTACCAACAGCACCCTGAAACTGTACAGATAATATTTCTTTAACCCTAAAACAGAAAAAGCTTAGTAATTTGATTAAGACATTAAATGCTTCTCATATAAATGAGTAGAAACAGAACATACAAAGCAAACAGATATTAGATAACATTTGACACAGCTATTCTAAAATTTTTATTACATTTATAATCCTCCTCTGTCATTTGATCTGGTGGACGATAACAAACTCCCAGTCTTAAGCTTCCTTTTGGGCCCACTATTTCAACCCATAGCATTTCCAGAAGCGAATCCAATTCACTTATCCTCTCAGTCTTACTGGACTGTATACCCTCTCTGACATACAGAGCCACCCCCACCTCCAACCCTTCCCTCCCATCCCTCCCTCCGATATAATTTATAACCAGGAATCACCATATCCTATTACATATGCGAACTTCTGCCCAATTAAATTGGTTACGATAGTTTTTTTCCCTATCTACATTATGATACCTATGTTGAGGAACTTTTTACCAAGAAAAGCTTTACTAGTTATCATCCTAAATCCATTCCATTAATTTTTTTTCCAAAAAACCTTTGCAAACAGTTAGCAGCAGGACTAGTGATGCCGCTGGGTCCTGCGATTTGTGGCTCACAGCATCATCCTGCTTATTGTTATGTTTTTATGGCTACTCTTTTACTGTGATTTCATTTAATTAGGCTGCTATTTGTTATTAATGCTGTGCTTTGGAAACAATCACAGCTTACCATTTTTAGCATTATGCATCTTACAGCATTTTATCTGCCACACAGTCTACTGATTATGATACAAGGTTATAAATATGGATTTCATTTTAATGTTGTATATAAAAATGGAAACAAAATGTAAAAACAAAACATTTGACAACTCTCCTTCCCTACTGAAACTAATCCTTATGTCAAGTTTTAGACTGTAAGCTGCTTGAGCTTTACTCCATAAAGCGCCATCTACACTGATGCACTAAATAAACAATAACAGAGTGTCATCTCAAATTCCTGTTGGTAGAGGCAACTCATAAATAATAATAAGTCCGTATCTTCCCTCCAAATTGCATTCTTCCTGCAATGCATTTTAGGATTTAGTAGAGATCAGGATTTGGTCGAGATCTCTCATGGATCACTGCCTTGACGTGGCGAGGGGGCTTGTGTGATTCGATGAGGCTGTGGACTGTGCCGTGGAGGGCCACCCAGGATGGACAAGCCACAGCGGAGAACTCAGGCAAAACGTGATCCACTGGAGAAGGAAATGGCAACCCACTCCAGTAACTTTGCCAAGAAAACCCCATGGACAGTAAAAAAAAGGCTAAAAGATATGATGCTGGAAGATGAGCCCCTCAGGTCGGAAGGTGTCCAATATGCTACTGGGGAAGAGCAGAGGGCATGTATAAGAAGCCCCAGAAAGAGTGAAGCGGCTGGGCCAGAGCTGAAAGGATGCTCAGCTGTGGACATGTCTGATGGTGAAAGGAAAGTCCGATGCTGCAAAGAACAATACTGCATAGCAACCTGGAATGCAAGATCTATGAATCAAGGTAAGCTTGAGGTGGTTAAAAATGAGATGGCAAGACTGAACAACGACATCTTGGGAATCAGTGAACTAAAGTGGACGGGAATGGGCAAATTTAACTCTGAAGAGCATTATATCTACTACTGTGGCCAAGAATCCCGTAGAAAAAATGGTGTGGCATTTACAGTCAACAAGAAAGTTCAAAAGGCAGTAATGGGATACAATCTCAAAAATGACAGAATGATCTCAGTCTGAATCCAAGGCAAACCATTTAACATCACAGTAATCCAAATCTATGCCCCAACCACTGATGCAAAGGAAGCTGAAATGGACCGGTTCTATGAAGACCTACAACACCTCCTAGAACTAACACCAAAAAAAGATGACCTCATCATCATAGGGGACTGGAATGCTAAAGTAGGAAGTCAAAAGGTAACCAGAATAATGGACAAGATTGGCCTTGGAGAACAAAATGACGCTGAGCAAAGGCTAACAGAGTTTTGTCAAGAGAACACACTGGTCATAGTGAACACCCTCTTCCAACAACCTAAGAGGCGACATCACTAGATGGGCAATACCGAAATCAGATTGATTATGTCATTTGCAGTCAAACATGGAGAAGCTCTATACAGTCAGCAAAAACAAGACCTGGAGCTGACTGTGGCTCAGATCATGAGCTACTCATTGCAAAATTCAGGCTTAAACTGAAGAAAGTTGGGAAAACCACTAAGGCCGTTCAGGTTTGACCTAGATCACATCCCTTATGAATATACAGTGGAGGTGAAGAACAGGTTTAAGAGATTAGATTTGATAGACGGAGTGCCTGAAGAACTATGGATGGAGGTTTGTAGGTTTGTGAGATTGTACAGGAGGCAGCAATCAGCACCATACCAAAGAAAAAGAAATGAAAGAAAGCAAAGTGGCTGTCTGATGAGGCTTTACAAACAGCAGAGGAAAGAAGGAACACAAAAGGCAAAGGTGAAATGGAAAGATTTACTCAATTGAACACAGGTTTCTAGAGAACAGCAAGGAGAGATAAGGAGGCTTTCCTGAATGAACAATGCAAAGTAACAGAGGAAAACAATATAATGGAAAGGACTAGAGATCAAATTGCTAACATTCGCTGGATTATGGAGAAAGTAAGGGAATACCAGAAAAACATCTACTTCAAAAGTTGCTTAATCAGACATTCACAACTCAGGAAATACTGATGCTATTAAAAAGCAAAAAAGAAAAAGAAATAAAACACCAGGGCTGGATGGGCTTCCGGACGAATTTTATATGGTTTTTGAAGAGGAGTTAATGTTGCCATTCAAACAAATGATACAAGAGATTCCATATAGGAAAATGCTCCCAGATTCCTGGAATTCAGCTATAATTTCTCTGATACACAAAAAAGATACGGATGCAAAAGAAATAAAAAAGTATCGGCCCATATCTCTGCTTAATGCAGACTATAAGATCTTTGCATCCATAATAGCATCGAGATTCAGGAAAATACTTCTTGAGATAATACACCGAGATCAGGCGGGTTTCTTACCGCATAGGCAGGCTAGACAAAATTTGAGAACAATTATGAATGCTCTGGAATACGCAGAGGCCCATCCAGAAAAACAGATGATTATATTATTTTTAGACGCTGAAAAGGTGTTTGAGAATATCACCTGGGATTTTATGATAGAACACTTAAAGGTCTCCCTTTGTGGAGAGTTTTTTGTCAATGGGATAGAATCCATATATACTAATCAAAAGGCCAGAATAATGATTAATGGTGATTTGACCTCTGAAATAAGTATTGCTAAGGGTACGAGACAGGGCTGTCCCTTATCTCCCCTATTGTTTATTTATACTATTGAAATTTTGTTGGAGAGTATACGAAAAGACAGAGGGATAGCGGGAATTAAGGCAAAAGGTGAAGAGTATATTACCCAAGCATATGCAGATAACCTGGCAATTATGCTTGTGGACCTGATGGATTCATTAGACAGGTTGATGGAACTGTTAGAGGAATTTGGCCAACTGGCAGGTTTTAGGATTAACGGGAACAAATCCCAGTTATTGATTTAAAAACTGCACTCACCAGCAGATCTCAGAACTGCAAAGAAAAACAGGGTTTAGTGCACAAAAAAAGATTAAGTACCTAGGTTACGAATAGGTTAAGTTCACTCTATCAAGATAACTACGATAAGCTTTTGATGCAAATTAAGAGCGATCTGATCAAATGGGGACTGCTACAAATATCGCAGATGGGTAGAGTAACAGTGTGTCAGCTAGCTGCCATGGAAGTCTGTGTATATGAATCCCCCCCCCCGTCTGTTCGGCATCTGCGCATGCCTCCTGTATGGTCTGTGTGTATCGTTGTGTCCTGCGTTCCATTCTATGAATGCTTGCGTACGCTTATCTGCAAGGTTAACAGGTGGGAAGAAGGAGCCGCTTAGCTCAGACTATAATGAGCTGAACCGTGTGAAGCTGCATTTGTTTATCTTTAGAGAAACGTTGCTTCTCAGGATTTTGAGCGCGAAACCAAAAGTCTGCCCGCTCGGCGGGAACCAAGGTTATTGGTTATTGTCTGTTTGAATGTCTAACATTATCCCTTGCCCGACCCAGCCCAGGTATTCTGGACAGTGCCTTTGTTCATGCTCTATCATGGCTTTAATAAAATACTACTTTGCTTAAACGTGTATTGGACATATAGCTGTGGGAAGCGGACATTCTGTCCAGAATCCCTTTTTCCTCCATCGTTCCGAGTCGGCTGGCACCAGCATGAGCGGAGCTGAGGAGGAACCCCCAAACACAACTGCAGACGGTGGCAGCGGGCCAGGGACCACGACCCCGCCAGCCACGACGGTCCAGACGACCGGGGCCACGGCGGGAGCGGTTCCAAAGTCAGCCACCACGACGATCCCCTGGCCATTCACCCCGTCGAAATTGGCCAGGAGGGCGTGGGATGATTGGAGCCAATTCGATTTGCAAGGCACCCGAGAAACTTTCTCGAAGAGAGGTGGTGGCCTGAGAGACAGCTTGTACGATCAAGGACTCTATCCAGGGCCAAGCCTTGGTGCCGTGGGTGATCAACTCGAACAGGCAGACGACCCCTGGGTGACGGGGCGCTCTAAGGACAGGGCGAGAAGGACGTATCCGGGGGACGGCATGGAGGAGAGGGTGGAAGACATCGACTGGACCCTGCAGCAGCTGATGCAGACGGTGGACGAGGTGTTCAACGCGCTCCCGGATTTGGTTGAGCGAACGATCGAGAACGCCTTTGTTAGGCGAGGTGCCCCGCAAGCGGCTCCGGCGGCCCCAGTGCTTCCACCCCCGGGGCAACCAGCTCAACCGGCGCAGCCGGCGCAACCGGGGGTCCCGGCGCAACCGGGGGTCCCGGCCCTGTCCGAAAGACCTTCTGGAAGCTACTTTTGACGGCA